CTCACACACACACACACACACGCACACACACACACACACACACACACACACACACACACATGCACACACATGGACGTGCAACCCCAGACATATACACACGCACACCCGCGGACACACACCAACACACCCCGCGGAGTGGGTGTGGTGTGTGTGCAATGTACGAGAGGTAGGTAGATAGAAAGATAGATAGATACATAGATAGATAGATGGATGGATGGATGGGTGGATGGAGAGAGAGAGAGAGAGAGAGAGAGAGAGAGAGAGAGAGAGAGAGAGAGAGAGAGAGAGAGAGAGAGAGAGAGAGATCATCAAACAAATACACAAGAGGAGGCACTTGAAGAAACAAATTGAATATCATGTGTCGTTGTGAGGAAACCCGGGGAGGTGCTACCTACTGTTCGCTGAAGCCATGGGCTACGGCGCCTGTCACTTGGCCGTGCCCGCTTCCGAGGTCCTCAGCGATCAGTAGGGTATCGGTAGTCGCATTCTTTAACGTCTTCTCCCGTCCTTTTAGCGACACTGAAAATACCCGTGTTGGGGAGTCATGTCGAGACTCAGTTGACAGCTATCAGTTAGAATGATCTTGCGAAGGTCCGAGTTCCAGTCCACACTACTACACTAGCCAGCAAGATCAACAACAAGACAGTTCTCGATTGTCAGCAGAATTTGACTAAGCCACACTCACGACTCGTTTCACAATGCTCAGCTATAATGATCATGTAGGGAAACCAATCTCAGTTCACAGCAGACTACAAATTTACCAGCGTGACTGTTCACAATAGCCAGAAAAATTAATTGCGTCACACGCACAGCCCGTTTCACAAGGCGCAGCTAGAATGATCTAACAATGACTTCAGCTCATGATAAACAGTAAGAGAAAAAAAAACAATGAGTCATACTAGAGCCCGTTTCACAGTGCTTAGCCAGAGTGAACTAGAGGGGTCTGACCCAGTTCATAACGTTGTGCAGGGTTAAATAGCAGTGAGACCAAATACCAACACTCTGCATCCAACGAAATGACAACGAGTCAAATCAAAATCCACCTCGCAACGAGTGGTACTCACTCTCGGTTCCTTCCTCCCCCAAGGGCACTAACTCCCGTCCGGCCCTCCGTTCGCACGCTTTCTTACCCTCACTTTCGTTTTACCCTTGACTCTCCTTCATTCCCCCGTACTTCCTCTCTCTCTCTCCCGTGACACACTACCACCCCCTCTCAGAAACACGTGTCTTGCCACTCTCGTTCTCTCTAAAACCTGTCTCTTATACACATCTAGATGTGTATAAGAGACAGGAACTAGAGGGGTCTGACCCAGTTCATAACGTTGTGCAGGGTTAAATAGCAGTGAGACCAAATACCAACACTCTGCATCCAACGAAATGACAACGAGTCAAATCAAAATCCACCTCGCAACGAGTGGTACTCACTCTCGGTTCCTTCCTCCCCCAAGGGCACTAACTCCCGTCCGGCCCTCCGTTCGCACGCTTTCTTACCCTCACTTTCGTTTTACCCTTGACTCTCCTTCATTCCCCCGTACTTCCTCTCTCTCTCTCCCGTGACACACTACCACCCCCTCTCAGAAACACGTGTCTTGCCACTCTCGTTCTCTCTAAAACCCCGCTTCTCACTTCCGATCCTCTCTCTCTGGGTTCAATCGTGTGTTGGACACTTACAAAATAAGCAATTCAGGGGTGAAGCGAGCAATCGTACCCTCGAAGACTGAAAAGCAAAAATGCTGACATTGTTATGAAGAAAACAGCTGTCTGACGTTGTCGTGGAGGGGTCTGCAGTCGTTTAATTGGAGAAATCCCCTCTGCATATTCAAAATGCCCGTTCAATTTTGTTTTAGTCATGAGCTCAACGAATCAAGCATCTCGAAAGTAAGGAGATAGAGGCTTTGAGTTATGTATGTAAAATAATATGAAATAAATTGTTTGCACTTCAGCGGAAACTTACCGATCCCGTCAACAGCGAGGATTGCTTGATTGGCTGGGCTGTGGAACCGCCCTTATCTCCTAGGAGTAGGAGTGCTTGATTGGGCAAACTGAAAAACCGACTGTCCTCTCCAACACCGGGTTTGGTTTGATTGGCAGACAAGTAAAAGTAGTTGTTCCCTTCTGCAGCGGTGTACTTGCTCGGACTGAATCTCCGAAACTGGTTGTTCTTGCCTTAAGCGTTGATTGAACTGAATCACTGGAACTGGTCGTCCCCACCTGCACCGTTGGTCGGACAAGATCACTGGAACTGGCTAACCCCGTCTTCACTGTTGATTGGACTGAATTACTGGGACTGATTGTTCCCGC